GGAGAGGGGGAGGGGCAGAGAAAACAGAGCGTCCCAACTCCGACTGGCCCCTCTCGCTGCGAGGTGCCTAGTGGCTAGCCAACTGGAGCTTGCGCACTCCTCCCCCGCCCTCTTTAACGCAGCGGGAGCGAGGGATGCGCATTGAGGAGGAGAAAGGCATCTTTCCAAAAAAGGAAGTCAGTGAGGAGCTACGCGTGACACCGCCTGTGTTCAAATGCTTTCTTTCCACAGCTGCTTTGCCCTCTTCCCCTAAAAACAAACAAACAAAAAAAAAGGTACAAGCACACACTACTTCCTAGCCACCCACCGTCCACCCTCAATTTTTACGCCAGCCTCCAAATGCAGTAACTCTAAGGAGATGTGGTACCCGCCACCACCTCACCCAACACCCCATCTGCCTTTTCCCAACTCCCGGCTTTTCTCGCGAGACCCATACCTGCCGACTTCGTGATTAGAAATCGAAGCACAGATTTACAAATACCGGTCTCCTGGTTACGTTGCGAGGGCAACGGCCACGGTATGTCCCCCCACCCCCCAAGACTGCAGTGCGCGCGCGCGGGGGCTGGGCAACAACGAAGGCCGGGATGGGAAAGGGAAGCTATGAAACGGATTTTTGACGGCATGTAACCGCTGGGCCTGGGCACGTGCCCTGCGCCTTTCTGGTGGGTGCGGTGTACCCTGGGAATTGTAGTCTTTGTTCTCACCTTCCCCTCAGCCTCTCTGAGGCCTCCGACCAGGAGGGGAATTACCGACGCCATTTTGCGAGAACAATGGCCCTTAGCCCAAGCGGCGGCGGGAGCGGGAGGGAGTAATATTTTAAGGGGTTGGTTAACCTACCCCTGGCCCCTCGGTGCCATAGCAACCCTTCAGAAACCTGGCCCCGCCCCCTGCTGCACCGCTGGACTCCTAGACTGCGCGCATGCGAAACAGCCACCTTCCCGGGGAGGCTGACTTTCCGTCTGCAAGGGCCACTTCCCAGATTTGGCAGTGAATGTTACCTCCTTCGAACCTTCACTGCATATTAACCTCGACACAGCGGCTTTATTTAAGAACTGCTTTCTGCACTGATCAGGCACTGTACAGAATTGTTTCCATCATTCTCGCACAAACAATCCTGGCTCCACCGAGGAGTAAAGTGAGGCTCTGGGAGGGCAAAGTGGACGAGACTTGCCCAAGTTCACACAACTATAAATGGAGAAATCAGAACCTAAACCCAGATGGCTCAGTCCAGAGCCCATGCATTTTTCAGTCCCCCAGGCTGCATCTGGTGTCACAGCCCCTGAATGAAACTCCTAAAAGGCGGGATTTCTTTCAGAATGTCCTTCAAGCCTTAGCAGTATGATTTGGGGGTAGAAGGTTGTGTAAAAAATGCCAGGCTAATATTTTCAACTGGCAGCTTCAGGGCCCTGTCACTGAGTTATGCCAATTTCTCGTCTCTCCACTACCTTCTTTTTCTTTTCCTACTATAGGCCTCAGAACCTCAGTCTTTTTCAGCTCTTTGAATAACTATCAACAAATTTAACTCTGAGGTTTCCAGAGTCCAAATGCGGCAGAATGGTGGGAAGCATTGTGGCCCTGTTTCTTGTCTCTGCATCTTTCCTGATGAAGATTGTGTATTAATCCCTATATCGCCAGAACATACAAGGAAAACAGATAATGCCTTTAATAAATTCAAACCCCCCTGTCCAATTTTGACAATAGAGGGAGATTCTGAGGGTAAAAAATTCAGGACTATGAGGTTCAATTGTTCCACCTGTGGAGATCTTCCTTGCTGACTAAATTTGGAGAAACAAGGTGTGATTTCTCCAAATAGTGGCACCATGCTACCTTAAAGGTTTTTGCATTTCTTAGCTGTACAATGGATAGGATCCCCCAAACTCCTTTCCTCACTGTCCCTGAAGATAGCCCCTTTTCTCTGATGAATTGTTGACTACTATGGGGAAAATAAAACATAGCCAAATAACCACCAGAGAGCAGTTTCAAAGGTTATTCCAAGTCTTTGTAGGTCATAACTCCCACTGAGATGGTAACCAGAAACTTTTGCCCACCATTTTTTTTTTATCCACGTCACCCTACTCCTACCAACACCACACACATCCACCTTTAGGAAAATTAACAGGTACCTCCCTCAGTTGTGGCCTGCTCCTCTTCCTTTGTCTCTGAGCCTGATGATGTAATTGATACAGAACAGTACTTGGAAGGAAATGTTAGTCCTTCAACCTGCTAGGCTTTGAACCCTTCTGAGAAGTCCTTCTTTGACAATCAAAGCATTTGCTAACTATAAAGCAGTCTGACTTTTACAAACTTCAGAAAATAGAAAATAAACTCTGGTCCCCATCCAAGTACAGGCCCTTCTCAATGTAGGCCTTTTACTGACATAGGTACTCTTCTGTTTGAAACAACCTGTCCGTAACACAGCACAAATGCTACTATAGGCAGAAAGGAGAGTGGGCAGTTATATCTAGTCAACAGTGTATGGCAGGAAACATTCCCTTCTTACCCACTAGTTTCCACTGACTCCCAGGTGGCATTTGTGATGTTTCTATTCTCAAATCAAAAATTTGATTTATAGTAATCACTTGCAGTTTGGCTTTACATTCTTTTGGGAAAACATCCTTCCAACAATCTAGCTCATTTTATTTGAAGGCTCTGGTGCCAGGAAATTCCAAAAACCTTCCCTAGAATCATTTTTGGACCCCAGAATCCCAGTAGGGGTGGGGATGGAGTGGTTAGTTTCATGGCCTACTAGTTGTTTATCTCCCTACCACGTAGGATGGTAACTCCTTCATTCAACAAGGTGGAACCGAGATGAACCTCAAAGTTTACAGTTAGCTGATAACTACAGCCATGAGTAGAGTTGTGACTGTTTCTAGAGCTCAAGATTCTGACTCTGAGCCCTCCTTTTACCAGTTTATTGGCAGAAAAAATGTAATACTTGACATTCTTTTCCCTTATCCCAGGTGATGCCACAATTTGGGGGTCTTATGCAAGGCCCAGGCATGGTAGTGGAGAGTAAGACATATACTTCCAGGTCCTCAGATCCTTTCAGGTGCTGCTGAGCCCTCTGCCCACAAGGGTCCTTTCAGGTGCTGTGGTCCTCACTAAAGTCTCTGCCACATTTGGGGCACATAACTCATTGCCAAGCTTACCTGTTGGTCCATCCACCTAGACATTCCACACAACCTTTCCTCTCTTGAGTATTTCCTACCAAGCAAGTGTAGCTTCTGGGAACATAGCTGTTTGAGCTCCCACAGAGCTCTCCCTGCCTCTCTCCTCCAAGGAGAGGGAAGTGAGAAAGAGAAAAAAAATTTTTTAGGCTTATGCAAATCTTTCATCCTTCTAGTTTTCTAGCCTAGATAATTTGTCTCTGCCCCTGCATGCACCCTGATCCCCCTTCACTAGGACTTAACATCTTTGGAACACAAAAGCCAGAGAGACTGGCAGGGTATTTGTTTTCCTGCCTTGCTTCCTCCCTCCCCTGAGGTACACCACAAAGCTGACTACCTTTGAGGGGTAAGGGAAGGGAAAAATATAGGGAAGAAAAAAAATACACATACATTTCAAAATAATATTGAAGCCACATTCTCCCTCTATTAAATCTTAGTGTCTCCACAAAGAAAATTTACTTCTCATCCAGATGCCCCCTGATCAGGACAGTAACTCCCAGAGCTTAGATGTCTGGGTGATCTTTTCTCTAGGCAAGCCTTGGCACTGGGAAATTTCCCACCTGGATCATTTAGGGGTTGTTAATATCCTCCTAGGAGACTCTCTTTCCTCCCAGCACAAGTTGAATGTCCCCTGAGTAAGAAGAGTAGGCATCACCTAGCTCAGAAATGAGCAGCTATTGTTAGCTTAGTGACTGACTTAGAAACACTCCACGTTGCAGATTTGACAATGCAGTTTCTTGAGCCTTACTTTGGAGTCTGAACTCTTTCTAGACACAATCTTTCTTCATATGCCCCAGGCCATATATCAGGGGCAAATTTAAGGTAAGTAACTGTCTTGGAGAGCCTAAAAAAGAGTAAGCCCACACCACTTCTGAAAAACTTAAGTGTCTTCAATCTTAACTCCTCTGCAAAGTTCCCATGTGGATAGGTTACAGAGCCTGAGGTGGGGTTGCTGGAATAGTCCTTTCATTCTCCAGAAGATCAATTCTTTTAGAAATGTATAGTCTAACATAGCATATTCTTCTGAGAAGTAGAGAATTCAGCCTCCTTCCTCTGTCCTACCCTCCATCCTTCCTTCCCTTCTTCTGGCCTTCTGTATCTGTTCTAAATTCTGTAATAGTCTTTCAAAACAGTCTTGTTACAAATCCTTCATGTAGCAGTAATGAACTAGAGCCTACACTAAGATGAATAATAATAATATCTAATAAATAACATTCACTATGTGTTTTCTACAAACCCAATACATCCTATGGGGTAGGTGTCATTATTAACACCTCTTTTCACATTAGTAAACCAAGGTACAAACAGGTTAAATAATCTGTCCAAGGTAATACAGCAAGTAAATGGCAGAGCTAGATTTGAACCCATTTAGTTTAGTTCAGATTCTATGCTCTTAATCATTTTGTTGTATCTTTATTGTCTATGATTCCATTTAATGGGGCTGGTAAAAAAAACCTCAGTTCTTCTTGACATTCCTCCACTCCAGACTCATGCCACAGTTCTGCACCATTACACAGCGCTGAAGCCTGGGAGCAGAGGTTCATTAAGTCCTTGGTCATCAGGCAACACAATCAGAGGTCCATCGCCTCTGCCCACACTGTTCTTTTACGGTCTGGCAGATCCTTGTTGCACTGGGACACTGACAATAGCTTGGGAATTTTTGTTAAGGCTACCTAGACCAGCCCCAGTTCTCTCAGGTTTTCTTGTCTACACAGGGATGGTATCAAGAAGCAAGACAGGTGTCTTGC